AAAGCAGAGTATTTGAGATGCAGAATTTGAAGTCACTAGAGTAACATCTAATGCAGAAGAAGGGTTTCCTGGGTAATTTACACCCCTTTATCAAAGTATAATGTTCCTCAATGATGCTTATTAGCACGTAATGGAGATACACTCTATGGAATTCTGTAAGACTTGACTCAACTGGGGAAAAAATCAGTTAAAAGAACAGAGATGAAGTAATTTTTTAAAGAGATATTAATATATTTCAAATATATGTAACACTATAACCTAATTGCTAACAATGTGTCTCTGAATAAGAATTTTATTTATTTCACGGAATTGATTTTAAAATTCTTCTTGGTTAGTGACATCATCTATTTATATGTAGCTTACAAATATTTATGGTGTTCTTCCTATTTATGTATCACTACAGAAGGGCTCTCCTCTCCTAGATCTTAGAATCCCGTTTAAGAAACACAACCAGGTGATAAAAATAATTAATATAATAAAAACAAAATAATTAACATAAGAAAGTCTTCAAGGAAAGTGAGTTCTCTTAAATATGTTTAACAGTACCTGAATTTTTAGTTACACTGTGTATTTGCTCAGAAAATTACCTCTTTGAGATGATTAGATGTTAGAGCTCAATTCAGTTGAATGATGGAAATTAGTAGCTCTCTCTCCTCTAGGCCTTCCCCAGCATTCTCTTCAATTATAAATGTGTTAAAATCTATGAAATTTCATATTAGTTTTGTCCTGTGATCTCCTAAAGTCTCCTTAAAGTATCCTCATACTCAGGGCTTAGTACTATGACTGGCATATAGGAGATCTTTAGTAAAGAAAAAATTTATTGAATGCTTTCTTTGCTTCCTTCCTTCTTTATTTCATATATTCTTTGGCACATTAAAATCTGAATTGGGAAGCCTAGAAATGGTGGGATTTTGATCAAGTCACTGAAGGTATTTCTCATATCTTTATTTCCTATTTCCAGATCCCCAATTAGGTAAAACATTCCAGTAATTTCAACTTGGCAGACAGCTATTTTGCACATTCTGAGGAATTATTTATCAAATTGCTCATTCACATGGTAGTGCTTCTCCTATGACAATGATCCTGATTCTGAGAGCCTCTTACGTCCTTTATTGTTTTCCAAAAGGACAAAGAAAGCTTACCTCTAAATTTCACTGTCTGATGATTTTTAAAATGACATCCTAGACTGTATCATGGGAATAGAAACCATTGGCAAGGGCTCCAAAATTTGTATTAATCTCTAAAATATTTTAAGCCTATCTTGTCTACTGAATAGTAGAACCCAAAGAAGACAAGCAATTTCTAAGTCTATTCTTGGGTCTTCATACTTCAAATTGTAGAAATTTCCTATCATAAGGACCTTGTAATGATTTGTCTCTTCCTGTGCTTGGGTCTTTTCCATGTCCAAGGTTCTGTGGTGGACTCATATTAGAATCTCCTTGGATTTCTAAGAACCACTTCTATCTCTGATACTTACAGTGAAGAAATCCAATGGTAGGCAATGAGGGGACTGGCTGACTTGGTAAGGCTCAATGACACACTAAATGATGATGAAGGAAAAACATCCATTAAGTCAGTGCTCTCCAGTCCAGATTCAAAGAACATAACTTCACTGAAAGAAGCTGACTTGTATTCTCATGTGATTGTAAACGTTTGGCTATGTATAAACATTCTGATATTAGGCAAATAGACCAAGGGAATTTGGCACAAATAAAAATAATACCTTTCCTGATCTCAGTTTACTATGGAGAACATACATTAAGTGAAATAAATCCTGATTCCTCTCTTAATGGTAAGGAATTTCAGAATACCTAAAACTTTTGCCTATGTAGGAATTCATTTTGGCTGCCTTTTTGGTCACAGTTTTCGTAGACTAAAGTATTCCCCCTTCTTACACTTTAGCAAGGAAGAAGGAACACAGTATGAGCTTACATACAGAGAATTATTAGGTCATATTTTTGTACAATGACACATGCTTTTATACTTTTTGTAATGGGATTCAACTATCAATTTTTATGGAATCCAGCCATGAAATACTTTTGCTATTTAGCTAACTAACCTTCTTGAGTAAGAAGTCTGACTTTAAAATATTTAATATTTCTAGTTCTAAAGCTTTTTAAATTAATGTCAAATGTCTTCAGCTCAAATATTACTGTTGGTAAGGTTGTAATTCAGAGTTGTTTCTGCCTCATCCTTCCACAGTTTATTCGTTCATTCATCCTTTTGTTCATGCCATCTTGCATTGCATTCAACCCCTAATAGACACAGTGCTTTTTCCAGGCACTAAGGATATATCAGTGAATAATGACACCCCCCATTTCAATGTTAGCCAAAAGTTAGGAAATGAACATTAGCTGCCTTACAGCTTTAGATAAAATCAAGTACACCTAAACCAATGAGTTCTTATCAAACACTTAATGTGCCCTCAAGATTATGCCAGTTTAAAAGTTCTGACAAATCTAGGATAGCTGTGGCAGATATTGCTATCACCCTGTTTATGTTGTTTCACTATTTTGCAGAAACTACCAAGAACATCAAGCATCTGAGAAAGAATCCAGGATTGTGAAAACTTGAAACTTATGTTATCTCAGTTTCTAAATCCCATAGACTACAACCCAGGGATATCTAACACTCTAGCACAGAATGAAGCAAAAAGTATTACATTCTTTTTCTTTTTTCATTATTACATTCCTTTTCTTAAAAGCATTAATAAAACTGATTAGATTTGGGGGCACCTGGGTGGCTCAGTTAGTTAAGCATCTGACTCTTAGCTCAGCTCAGGTCATGATCCCACGGTTTGTGGGTTCAAGCCCCACGTCAGGCTCTGCACTAACCATGTGGAGCCTACTTGGAATTCTCTCTCCCTCTCTCCCAGCCCTTACCCCACTCTCTCTCTCTCTCTCTCTGTGTCCCTCTCTTTATCTCTCTCTCTCTCAAAATAAATAAATAAACTTATATTTAAAAAACTGATTAGATTTTACCACTAGAATACAAGGGCATTGACATATTCTTGATATTTGTAGTCAAAGCATAAGATTCATATTACAGAAGACCAAGAAGGCACTTGCTAGTTCTGCAAGCAGAATCAGTTTTCCCTTCTAGTACATCAAAAAGTTTTATTTCATTCCAAAAAGTAAATACATAGAATTCTTTTTCATAATGTTTATGTTGAGAAATTCTGGCAGCTTTAGGAAATCCTGTCCTTAAGAGATCACATCAGAAAGACTAACATCCACATCTCCAACCAGAAGAGACAACATAAACCTAAGCAGGGGTCTGTGAATCTTTTCTGTAGAAGCCCAGACTCATTCACATCCATTTTAGACTTTGCAGACATTATGGTCTCCATCACAATTACTCAACTCTGCCTTTAGAGTGAAAACAGCCATAGACCATACGCAAATAACTAAGCATGACTGCATTCCATAAACTATTTAAAAAAAGCAAGCAGCGAGCCTAATGTGGCTTACTGGCCAGTCTGCCAACCCCTGATCTAAGTAGATCTGTATTCTGAGAAAAGGTAGTATTTTTCATTTTTATTTAGTTTCTCATTTCTATTTTATGTCCTATCAAATAGTGAAATAAACTTAAGCATGTAACTCAAATATGGAAAAGATAATTTTTTTCATTATTAGGTATCATTTTTAATAAAGAAGTTCTGATGAAGAATATCCCAGAAAAAAAAAACATTTAAATGCTATTTTTTCCTATATTGATAGGCTTTTAATCATTGTTCTACATTGTATATCACTCTCCTTTGCTTTATATGTAGTATAGTGAGTACAATTGAATTTTTTTTTTTTTACTGCTTTTTCTTAATCTCCCTGAACTATGTACAAAAATATTCTTAAGGGCACTTGAACTATGTAGGGACATGCCCTACATCAGTTGGCCTCAATCTGCAGTTTCTTTCCAGTTGATATGTCCATTACCATCATTATCCTATATATCAGCTTTCAATGCCAGTGTGTCCTTTTCTACTAATCTCTCCTATGTCCCTACTTCCTCTCACCAGAGCTCCTTGCATGAAATCGGCTCTCAACTGAAAACTGAGTGTGGATTGAAAGACCCACATAACCTAGCTTCAGGAGTTACATAGAAGTAACCATAAATCCATATTAAGTCCCTGGCCCTTTGAAGGAAGGCTATGTTAATCTTCTGGGGACATGGACTTTACAAAGGCTATTTTCCCCAATACTCGAAAGCTTTTTGCCTTATTTCTAATTTTGTTTTGTGGTTGTTGTTGTTGCTTGTTTGTTTGTTTGGCTAGGTTCCAGAACACTAAAGTTACTGAAAATCTGATTAACAGATAAATGAAGAGTTTTGTTAGTGTAGTAATACCTCTTGATTTTCAAAGTATTTGTAAAAACTGACATGAGCATATTCTTTATTGATTTTACTGCTTACATTTACTCTGTACCATATCCTGGCTATCTCTTACTAACTTTGTCTGAGAGGATCTCATCCTGTACCACTTAAGAATCATCCAAGGGATCACTAGAAAACAGCAAGCCCCATGTCTCACCCTGTGGTTTTCTAATCATTGTTTGGAAGACAGAGAACAGACATTAGCCATTTTTTGTTTGGTTTTGTAGTGTCTTAAGATTCACAGGTGAACTCTCAAGTTAATCAAAGGCTAAGCACCACTAGATTCCTATAGCCAGTCTCTTTTAGATGCCTAAAGAAAAAAATACGGAGTGGTTTACACTGATACTCTTCTCTTTTGTGGCACAAAATTTTACACATAATGAATGTGGAGTTATCCAAGGACTTTAACTTTCTCTTCCTTGAAGAACGCCCTGCAAATTTAATTACACATGGCTGCATTTCAGACTATATGCTTTTGTTGATGATCTCACCATGTGGAAAAGGAAGTAGGGCTTTGGCCATCAGTGTTGAGATTCTTTTTTCTTTTTTCCTTGGTCAGCTCTTGTGTCTGAAATGACCATTTTTGGTACTGTGAAACCACATGAATGTTACTGTTTTTCTCTTGTTCATAGCACCAGAAGAATGGGCCACAACCCGCTCCAGCCTGAAGGCACCACCGCCAAGGTCAGCCAGAGGGGGATACAGGGAGCACCCGTATGGTAGATATTGAAGGTCCTTCTCACCCGTGACCTCACCTCAAAGACAATTCATAGCCTGTGGTCTCCACATAAACAGCAACAAGACAAGTAATAGTCTTTTTTTTTTTTTTTTCTATTCTAGGGATAACTGCTCATGATTTCTCCCATATATTTCTTGTATTTCCCCCTATACTGTTGGCGTGACATTGACACTAGTATTATTTTACAAAACGGACTAAAAAAAGACATTGGCAAGCATTGTCTATAAACCACTCAATAGGATGATATTCTCTTGGTTGTTTTTCATTGTTGTGTGTAATCTTTTTTTTCTTTTTTCTTTTCTTTTTTTCTTTCTTTTTTTTTTTTTTTTTAAGAAAGAGCATGAATCTGTTAACAGATTTCGAGTCTCAATCAACTAGCAAAAACTTTGTTTAGGGTTGCTAAAAGACTGTAATATGATTTTTGAACTAGCTGATAATAAAGTTGTAGATAAGATGTTTTAACCTGTCTTTTAATATCTGTTAGTTAGATGAAGATGTTCGATATTAAGTTTGTAAATTTAATTTTTAAATGCTGTTTTAATGGAGTTGAAAACAAGAAGCTACTGTATGTATGTAGCTAACTGAATTTGTTCAGTGTTTTAACCTGTATTTGTTAAAAAAGAAAAAAAAACACACATAAAGTTCCATGTGTAAGCTACTCTAAATAGGAAACCACAATTTGTCAAATATGTTTGCCATAATTTGTCAATAAAGCTGAAAACTTTTGTAAAAACTAAATTTGGAATTACTTGTTTTCTAGCTTTAAATGCCTGCTTTATTTCTTCTTCAAGAGATGCCTAAAATGTTTTCTATTTAAAAATTACAAAAATGAACCCAAGCCTGTTTTAAGATATTTGTGTAATACTTAAAAACTGTATTAATAACTTATGGTTGTTAAATAATTTAAAAGTTAACAAACTAAACTGTTACATGAGTCATGGTTAGTAAACACTAATGTATCACATGTTAATGGAAAAAAATGGATTTAGACTAATAAATGGATTTTAAACTATCCTCTAAGCTTTATCTTGCTAAACACAAATTCTGATTGACTTGTTTGCATTAGCATGTCTCTCGTGAGAAAGAGTAATGGAGTATAAAGAGGTAAGAGTACCACTTACCACTGTCTAAATGCCTAGTTCTTCAACCTTTGAGTTTCCCCGCACATTAAATATCCCATCCAACATGTAAGCATTGCGTAGATTCACTTTATTGTTTTCACTCAAAGGAGTGCGTGGACTTCATTTGCGTAGTTTATAACAATTTGTTTTGACAAACAAATCATCAGTGTCACTGGCCAGTTGTTTCTATTCAACCTCAAAAACTTTATTTGTAATTTTCAGTGCTAAATATCACCGCCCTTGAAGGCAGTTTAGAGGGCTGATATTTCTTTTGAGACTATCAGACTTGATGGCTGATGATTATTAAGGAAATATGTCGCAGGACTCAAAGGATGACTAAACGTTAAACAGGTAACACTAATAGTAACTCTGTAATTTTGCCTATGCAACAGTAATGTTAAATATTCTCAGTTATTAAGTTCCTGATAGTTAAAAAAGTAAACCTACAAAAACTTAACAAATAGGTCTATAGGTTATTAAAACAACTAATTAACATTAACTAGAGGCACCAAAATTATTTTACAATATATAACCCTCAAGGTAATAAACAGAACTAAAATTAACAATAATAGTAATGCAACTCTTGCTAACATCAAACGTAATCTAAATTTTGATGGAAAAAGAAAGTGAAAGACTTGATGGTAGGGACGAATGCCAAAATTGTTCATCTTTTAAATACAGTTTTTTTGTTTATGGTGGCTTTTGTCGATGTGATTGGTTTACTTTTTTGCTGCTAACCAGCTTAGACATATTGCTGTTCGGTTTTTGCAGCTGGAGTTGCATGCTACTAGTTTTATGAAGTGTGTGTCTGTCATCGATTAAAATTGTAAATGTTTGCCTTACACAAAATGCTGTTGAGTTATATTTAATTTTTTTTTATTCTTTCTCACTATTTCAGGTATCCACAAGCAAAGAGCACATAATTGAATAGCAGATGTGATGAGCTAAGAAGGACAGAGGTAAGCTTATTTTTTATCCTCTCCAAAATAGGGAGATAATCTTTACCAAGATGGAGCTATGGCAGTGAGCTAGGACACCAAATGCCACTTGTTGAAATACTGAAAAGGTTGAGATTGTTGTGAAGGAATGGAGTTATTTTTATCTTCTTTGAAATAAAGTGATCTAACTTGGTATTTACCTGACAAGGCTTTCTGAGCTTATTCAGAAGCTTGTCAAATGAAACATGAATTAGCAGTTACTCTTCGGCCTTTTTCTTTCCTATGAATTACTATGTATTACCTTTCCCTAATTGTAGGAAGGAAGAGTATTCAAACCTTTAATATGAGGTTTTAGAGAAGGAAATCACAACCGTTGGCTGAGATGGAGGGAGTGGCAAAGGGAACCCCATAACCAGCCTCTCGCCTACCCTTTGTCAATGAGATAATATTTATTAATGTTAACATTTATTTAGTCAAATACAATAACTAAACTTACCCTTATTCTCCCCAGTTATTTCACTGGACTTATCAATAAGCTTCTTGTTTCTCATCTTCCATTCTATTTGATTCAGCAAATATTTACTGAATTCAAAGTGCTATGGGAAACTGAGACTTAATTTCCATGCACAAGTAGAAAACTTTGGCCCATAAACCTCAGCCTGAAAACAATGCAAGGGAGTTGTGAAATATGCAGACTGACCTGAAGCTCAGAGAATTGAAATGGCTTTGCCACAGTGTTTGATATAGAGGTAAAACCCAAAATTTCTCCTTCTGGGCCTGGTCTTTGTTTCACTACACAAATATCTGTAATACCATGTAGCCTTAAACAAGTGCCATAGCAGCAATATGAGAGAGTCTGGAGATATCTTCATGACTAGAGGTAGAACATAAACTGAGGCAGTGTGCAATGAGAGGGGTAGCCTGTCCACCGATGAGGAACAAAACACCACTGGTGAAGGGAATAGGGTGTGTAACGTCATGGAGTCCAAAAAGTTCAGGAAGTGCTTGAAAGAGAAGCAGATCAATGGGCCCTGAGGTCCAGATTCATGAAGGCACAGAAGTAAGGTCAAGTCAGGTGACTGTCCTTGAGTGCTATGTTAAATTTTTCAGATTTTATGTGAAAAATAAAAGGAAGCCACTCTGGGTTTGAAGTAAATAATCAGAGGTAAGGAAATTATCCCAAGGAACCACAGCAAACCACACTTTTAGTCAATTTAATAATTACTAACTGCCTCTTCATCCGGAAGAACTTTTCTAAAAATTCAAACTGTTAAAATAACTATTTAAAACTGCAGGTGCTTCAACTAATCAAGTCCCTTTGTTAAGCCGCAGAATGAAAGATCAAAAGTTAGAGAGAATACAGTTCTAAAATTTCATTTCTCAGTAACATTGCATACTTGATTTGACTCCTAGGAAATGTTACTGCTTTTATAAACCAAGGCGAGAAAGAATCTCTAATCCCGATATCCTGCGTAGTATTCTCCTTTGATCCTTTTCAAACAATAGGCTTGATCTTATAAAGCAATGAAAGAGAAACCAGTCACTGTTTGTTATTAGTTTGATACATTAATCAATATGTTTTTATGTACTCTGAAATTCTTTTATTGTTGCTGTTGCTCTATCACCCTGTGGCTTTCTCACCATTCAGACTGCATCTTTGAATGCATTAACTCGGGGCAGGGCTGTCACAGCAGAACACCAGTGCTGATCAACAGAAGAGAACATTCTTGGCTGCTGAGTTAAAAAGTAAGAGTTTTTAAAGCACAAAAAAAAAAAAAATGACTTGTGAGAAAGCAGATTTGGAGTTTCAAAAGCCTGTGTTTTGAGTAGGCTTTAACTAGCACGTCAAGTTTATGTGTTAACAGTAGACTCCAATCAATCGATCAATCAGTCAGTCAGTGATGCATCCACCAAACTTAGACTCTTAAAATAATCAGAAGTGAATACAGTAGGTTTCTCCAGCGATGGGGAATGATAATTTCCCCATGTTAGTGCTCCTTTAGCAGAAACCTTTGATAGAATGAAAACTGTTCAGAGTGGCGCTAACTAACATTTATTTGCCCAAAGGGCGCCTTCTTCTCCTGTCGGTATCAGACAGTGATGCCTGGTCCCAAGTCATCCCTTCATGGCGTCATGTCTGCTCTTACTGGTTTCAAAGTGCTGGCTCCCAAAGATGGCAGGCAAGAGCTACCTTGCCAGTTACAACCATGGATTTACAAACATTCTCAAGTCTGATATTCATCTCTGCAAGTTATACATACTTGCATGGCAATTTAAGGTTTATAAATTATAGTGCATTCTATGTAAGTACAGCTTGAAGCTATTCTTGTTATGTTCCAGCATTTATTCAGATAATGCTGTAATTCTTTCAACACTGATGATCCTATGACAGCCAGGAACTCACCAAAACACCAAACAAAGGTAGCTAGCTTGGACACTAAAGCATTGTAAATAGTAATAATAGCATAATAGGGAATAAAGTCGTTGTGCCTACTATTTTCCAAAAAAAAAAAAGTTTCACTACACTTTTAAAACTTTTAAATCAGAATCAATTTGATGCAATTTAAGAGACTAAATAGTGCTTTTAGGTGATATTTGTACTATTTAGATCATTTTTATTTGCAGTATATTAATGGAACTAAGGCCGTTTAGCTTCATAACAATTGAAGCACTAACAGTTTTTAAATAAATCTGACACAATGTGATATATTAAAGGTTCCCATGAATTCTTCTAAGGGAAATCGTTTTTTTTTTTTTTCAAACTGTATTAAGAAATTACTCTGTGCCTTTAGTTCTTCACTTAAAAATAAACTGTTTTGAAAACCATAAATGTCCCTCAAAAATGTAATCCCTTAACTATACAGCATTCTATCTAATCATCTCTGTCTCTTGGTTAACGTAATAAAGAAGTTTATAGATTTCTGGGGCACCTGGGTCACTCAGTCAGTTAACCGTACGACTTCGGTTCAGGTCATGCGTGATCTCACAGTTGGTGGGTTCGAGCCCCACATCAGGCTCTATGCTGACAGCATGGAGCCTGGAGCCTGCTTCAGATTCTGTGTCTCCCTCTCTCTCTGCCTCTCTCCTCCTCATACTCTGTCTCTGTCTCTCTCTCAAATATAAATAAGCGTTCAAAATTTAAAAAAGAAGTTTATAGGTTTATGGTTTTAAGGGAATAGAGAACAGTGATCAGTAACCTGAGGTGGCTGA